GGTAGTCACTTACTATCATGTGAGCCGGATGCTTGTTTACCCCCTCTTCTATAAAAAAAAATCTAATTTCACCTAAAATTAAAACTTTGATTCTCTTTATCACTATCATCTGCATCACTTTCAGGTAACTCGTTAGGAATTGCTCCATCCTGCTTCATATTTAGATACTCTTCATGGTACCTGCATGGAATTATATTTTTAATACACAGATCCAGAAGATCTTTGTACTTGGCAGCTGAAACTTTTAGGTACGTATTGCCTCTTGTTCTAATAATCGGGTCCATATATTCAACTCTTGTGTATTGCTATCTTGAAAAAACCCGTATTGGAATGTAACTGGATTGTTCTTTTTTGAGGTGCGATGTCTCACTATCAGACTCATTGTAATCAACAAGAAATTTACATGTAGCTAATACGGAATCATTATGGGATGATATTAAAAGAGTTTCAGCTGTAAAATTTAGGTAAAGATAGTGGTCTTAGTTTCTACCCATTGGCATGAACGAATCAAGTGTTAGGTTTTTCTGCTGTGTATCCTCAGGAGCAGGAGATTTAGTAATGTTCTGTTTCGGTAATGAACATGATGGTGGTAGTAATTTTATAATATTCTTAATCCTTGACTGTAACAATAAACGAACTTTGTGTTTGGCACTAAGAACTTGCGCTTATAATACAAAACATATACCTTTGGAGTTCTGAAAGCCCTATTCACCAACATGAACACAACACTGCTTAGGTAGGTTATGTTGTTTTTTGTAGGTACTTCCCCAGTTGGTTCAGTTATATACAAAAACTTACATATAACAACAATAACTAAAGTTATTGTTGTTATATGTAAGTTTAGCTAAAGCTAAGTAACAAATTAGGCTAGCCAAAGAAGGAGAATAGACGCTTTAGTGATTACCAAAGTTAAGCACGGAAGCCATGTGGTTACTCACACGCAAGCAAAGCCACGATTACTCGCTAGTCAAAAATTAGTAGCGTTTGATTATTTATCTACATTCATTTATTAACAAAATCACAATACTGAAATGTGTTCCTACATACATTTGCATGCGTTAACATTTTGGAGAACATATGCAACAAATAACTGCAGTGATTTACTAAACACTGTGGTGTCTTCCACGAGGAATGGAAAAAAGCAAAAATAGTACCTGTACACAATAAAGGCGAAACAAGCAACGTAAAAAACTACCGGCCGATTTTCATTTTGTCTACTTTTTCTAAATTGTTTGAGTCTCTGATTGATCCACTAATTATTAGAGACATAGATACTTCACTATCCGAGTACCAGCATGGGTTCCCCAGGGGCCGCTCAACGCAGACTAATTTGATCTCATTTATTTCTGAAATTGCACTGGGGGTGGACAGTGGAAGTCAAATTGATTCTGTATACAAGGATTTTACCAGTGCTTTTGATAAAATAAATCGCGCACTACCTTTATAGAAGTTGCAAATGAAAGGAATACATGTTTATCAAAATAGTTTGCTTCACTGGTTTAGGTCTTACCTCAGTATGAGACCCCAGGTAGTTGCTGTTGGGGGTTATGAGTCAGATGTATATTTTGCATCATCAGGAGTCCCATAGGGCTCTCACTCAGGCCCAATATTATTTCTTATATTTATCGACGATATAACGATGCATATAAAAAATTGTAAATTCAGCCTATTTGTGGATGATTTAAAAATATACAGGGCAGTCAATTCTTCCCATGACATGAAACTTATCCAAGAGAACTTAAACAGTATTCAGACATGGTGTGAATCAAACGGTATGACTCTGAACGTTGATACATGCTACCATATTAAATTTACAAAGAATAAAAATTATTTCCCATCCACTTATGTAATTAACGGCTCAACATTAACTGAAGTAAAAGAAATAAGAGACTTAGGTGTAACAGTAGACAAGCACCTTAAATTCACTTCACATATTAATAATATTGTAAATAAATCCTCGAAAATGCTAGGTTTTCTTAGGCGAAGTACTGCGGGTTTCCGTTTAAATTGCACCCATAAAATATTATACAATGCTTTGGTCCGAAGTAACTTGGAGTACGCTAGCGTGATATGGAACCCTGTATATGCTGTTCACTCTCAACGCTTGGAGGGTTTGTTCAGCGTGCGTTCAATAGGCATCTGGCATTTATTTCGCAGTTCGTGTCACACCGGTCACCATATGAGCATCGTCTTACCTTTTTTTAAATGTACTCGTTGCGTAGCCGTCGAAGAGACCAGGAGTTGGTGTTTTTGCACGGACTTGTCAGCGGTAAAATAAAATGTAGTGAACTCCTGGAACCTGTTAAATTGACGGTACCAGCTCGCATGCCCCGACATCCTATCAAAAAAACTTTTGCCTTGCCTTCTGTAAGGACTAACCTTGGACGCCATTCTCGTCTTGCCAGATGTTGCGCACAGTACAACGAGATGAACATTGAAACATTAGACATTTTCCACGACTCGTTTAAATTTAAACGGAAACTGGGCGGCCTTTTGTGAACAGGCATTTGTTTTCAGTTAAGTTTTGCTTTGGTGAATTTTATTATTTTATTGTTTAAAAATTTTCAGATATATATTGTGTTGTTATTTAATATCTCCTGTCAATGTTGTGTACGCCTATAATAGGTATATGTATAAGTAATTGTGCTTTAAAAATGTAACTTTTATAATATGCATACATGTACTGTTGGTGTACCTTTTTAAATAAATAAATAAATAAACACTATACAACGCTATCACATCACTTTAAACTTAATAAAACTTAGTTGTATCATGCTATTACCTGGTAATTGTAGAGTATAGGTAGGTAGATTATAGCAGACAGATAGTTATTGCATCAGATTTTTGCCACTTTGCTTATAGTAAACGACAAAATTTTGATGTACTGTGTCGGTTGTGATAACAAGTATGTTTGCTTATGCTGCAATTTTTAGATAATTACGCAACTTACGATATATATTGATTATGTCGGTTACTCTAACATACAGAAAATCGTTGTGCTAACGATAAACTTTTAGCATTTGCTATAACTTTCGAATTGATTGTATTTTGACGAGAAATGTCGATGAACCGAGTCCGTTATAGTATAAATATATCTTTTGCAATGAAAAACGCTGTTTGGTAAAAATGTCGCTTACGATAAGTTAGCGGTAATGGCTCGATAAACCTAAATCAATACAGGTTTTTGATCAAAAAACAGGATTTTTTCAGGTTTATCATAACATTGAGTAGTAATTTTGTCTTCTTCCGGTTCTTGATTAAAAGCAAAAGTTTTTGATCTAATAACCTGATTTTACCATAATTAAACTTCCGACATACATACGGTAATTTTTTAAAGAGTAGCCAAATTTTAAACTTAAGTTTCAAATATATAAATAATGAAATACCGTTACTGCAGTTTATAGAAATACGAGTAAATAAGGCTTCTATTTTCATTTGGAATTATCCCAAATTTTTTTCAAAAAACGCCATTTATGAGCAACAACATTTTTGTCTACCAATCGAACCTTACGAATGTGTGCGTGCGCAGTAAAAATAATGCATTACCACGCATTTTGAATTTAAAATATAAAAAGGACCGAATGTTTGAGATTTTTTCTTAATTAATTTTTCTTCACTATTTGCCTGTTTCACTTGTTCTGAACCGTCTCTGCAAATTTGGTGAAAATACAAACACAAAATAACCCTGTATATTATAGCTTCTACATCTGGACTTGTGCGATTGTGTAATTCTGGTAAAGCCAATCTGGCATCATGGTTTGACTTCATTTTCATATTTACTTTTATTTTCATTGTATCGTGTAATTGTGGCAATATCGATTATAAGTCGATGTCTCATTTTATCTCTATTTATTATTACAATAACACGCAGTTACGGTATTAATCCCACCGGCAAGCTAATCCTATCAGTACACTGTTGATCTTGTTCTATTGAAGACACACCAACATTTGTAAACGCTGTAATATAAAATTAACGGCAACGAACTATAGAACTCAAGCTATATTGTTCTTGAGGTTATTACAATATTTTTATTAAGAAATAGTTATGAGTAACACTAGTATATACACATGTTAAAGGTATATAATATGTTCCTACGAGTATAAGTACTGCGGTAACTGTACATAAGTTAATATTTGTATTAGAGTAATAATTTCAAATGAATAAGGTGTGTACCAATGCCAGTGTAATACTAGTGTATTTACAAAATATCGACCACGTGTAGTGTTTAGAACACCTAGCTACTACGACTGTAGCCAATATTTGTGATAAAAATGCTATTTTATGGTCTGTTAAGTTTGAAATAATGTTTCGTCATACACTGAGAAAATAAAGTAAAAGAATACATCGTCCAAATTAAATACTAAGTAAATAAATAAATCGCAAACAAAATATTTAATAAAGTTTTTGCCATATATGTGCTCAAACATCGTGTTAGTATGTAACTATTTATTTTGACATCCTTATTCCATAAAAAAGCAGGGTTATGTTCAGAAATTGACATGACGGAATTTAAATACAGAGATATTTAGAAAATATTGTGCGTTTCGTAAATTTTGTCCTTGGTAAAACCTTTATAGGTATTATAGAGCAATGGCAAATAAATTCATAGAAAAAAGCGTAGGTAATCTCTTTAAAAAATTGGGACGATAGAGTATATAAATAATGTTGAAATATGGAGTTTAGTTTAGGTTGGAATGAAAGCACTTCATCGATGACGCAATTTCAACACATCGGAAAACATTCGGAAATCGAGAAAGAAACAAAACAAGTTAGTTTTCAAGGAGAATACAAAAATAGTTTCCGAAAATAAATTGAGATATTTAGGTAACGCACTACATTGGATAAAATCTGTAGCCAGCGATCAGCAGAGATAAAGTTTAACAATTAAGTTCAAGATATTAGTAAAATGCATTGGTATTATTACACATCCACAGTTACGATCAAGGTTAAAAATGTTAATTAAACAGTATTAGAAAAAAGAGCAATAAAAATTTCTTACCTCTCTTTGTCACTTCCAGAGACATTTTTCGTGAATTCGACATTTGACAAATCGTTGACTTTGTATTTTTTCTTCATGTTTAATCTGTTTCCCTTGAATTCATCCATGGCGGGATTTGTTGCAAATTATATTTTTACATTACCAACTTTTATATTTTAAAATCGTTTGTCATTTGTTAACGTTACAAATTTAATGAAAAGTGTTAAGTATTTTGTAAACTCGTTAAATAAATGGCGTTCGCACGCCTTCACCGTCACGATTTAACTATCTACGATAGGAGTTATCAAGTAGATAATTTCACACGTTAGTACCTACAAGACCTTTAGGTACCATATTGAACATTTTGAGCTATTTAATTTTTCTTATATAGTTAAAACATTTTGCAAATACAGCTAATTGTTATGCAGCATTCACAAGTACGTCTGTCTTTTCGTGTGTCATAAAGGTGAACTAAGGTTCTTTAGGGTTTTTTTTTAAATTAATTGCAATTTGTAGACAATAGTTGTATCACAGTATACAACAATTTAATGACTTGTTAAATTATTATATATATTTATGAAGAACAAAAGTTTCAGTTTGTGCAATTAGGAACAATTTTCAGACCAACAAATAAAGATAGACAGAGAGAGATCATATTTCAAGTGATGTAAAATCGTGTTTATCAATCTTCAAGTGTTCCTTAGTATATGCCGTGATATCGCACAGTAGGTAAGCATGGAAAGAAAAAGTACGTATATTCCTGTCTTCTTGCGAAGGAAAATAGTGTAAAAATAATAAAAAAAACTCCAATAAAAGAACTTTTACAACATTGTGTTATCATGTATCGGAGTTTCTTTCTAGTGCCTTGGAACACAAAACCTTTAATAATAAAAAATTTAATATGAATTACCGACCATGAATGACTAAAATAAAGTAGGTTTTATTAATTTTCTTCAGAATAAAAATCAAATACTATAAATTAACAACCTAAAACTAATATAGACCTACCTTATTTTAGAGCCAAGCTTTTTTTTTATACGATAAGGGTGACAAACGAGCACACAGTCCACCTGATGGTAAGTGGTTGCTGCGGCCCATAGACATCTACATCTATCCTCTATTACAAATCAAAATGTAGATGCGTTGTCACCCGTGAAGACTAAGATGGAATGCCTCATTTCCAGTAAAAAGGGCCTCCGGCCACCTGCACGCACCAAGCGAAACGCAGAGGTAAACCTCTACTTCACGCTGGTTTGCTGTGAGGTCGTGGTACCACCCTGATTCGAGCCGGCCCATCCGTGCGACAGCAAAAACTGCCGCATGGCTCTACCACTGTTAACTCTTAGTTATTGTTCTCAGTGTCTTCTATTTAGCGAGGAATTTGCCATTTCACTTGCTTGACGCTAAGTTCAAGTATCTTAAGTTTCAACGGTTTCAGAGTTAAACAGATTGCCGCGGGTTACTATGAACTGGTCACCCTAATTATGGTCAATTAACAATTTGTCGAAGTTGTTTCTTGAGCAATGCAAAGAGAATATAATCACTACGTTTAGAGCAATGCTGCAATTCATCTAAAAATTCGTATAGTCGGCGAAGTAAAATAACATGTGGATGTTGTGACAGTTACATTTTTATTAGAACCGCTAAAGCAGGGCGAGTGCAATCCACTAGTTGTTTATAAACTATACATAAATTAGAAATGATTGTTGATTGTCTTATTTAAAGAACTAGAGCTTCAACGACATTGTTGGCGATAAGATACTTTAAGTGAGGTTAAGTGCAAATCTCATTTGACATTATCCTGATAAAGCCAAACGTCAATCTGAATGACATTAGAATGGATCTTAAAAACGGCAAGGTACCTGGTGAGGATAGAATTACATTAGAGCTTTTGCAAGTTAGTGGAGAATCGGTATTTAATGTTCTTCAAGCGCTATTTCATTTTGCCCTTCCACTTGGACTACGACACAAGCGTGGAACAGAAGCAAAAGTGAAACAAAATATCTTCTACATGCTATCTCTGTATCTACATGCCGTTTTCGAGAGTCATTGCGAACGGTCTTGCATACAGATTTTACAACTTCTAATATCCTGAATAAGCTGATTTTAAAGCATTATGAAAAATTTAACCTACATAATGTAAAACAATGTAACAAATATAATTAATCTGGGGGCACGGCAGTGCCCCCGCCAAGTCGAGTAAAAAAGCGGCACGGCCGTACCATACTTCTCTCGAAGCAGTTCAGGCAATTTCCGACCCCCTATAACTTCGTTGCGGATAAAACTAGGAGCCTGCATTTTCAGTAACCAAGCAGGCATTGTTGTAAACAATCTAATTTAATATAATATGTATTACTTGTGAGATACATTGTTTTCATGCGATGGCCAAATCAATTCAATTATTTAAAACATAAAAGATTTTTAATATTGATATGGTCACTATAAGATGTTGTTAGGTTAGCTAATTACGTAATAACTTAAGACAGAAGGACCCTTAAGTTGGGACTTGGTATTACATGGATCTCATAACTTTTTACGGTAGAAGAACTGAGTTGCGAGACTTGAGTTTTTTTACAAGTTATGTTTTTGATGGCATATCTTAATCCATAGGAAACCATACGAAAGGGTGTACATATGGATTTGGTATGTTATTTACTTTTCCTTATTTAAATTATATAAACTATTTTTAAATTATAATACAATTTAGATTTTATTATAATTAAAAATTGTAAAATTGCTTAAAATTGCACAAATTGTTTTCGGCGTCTTTTTCAGGAGAGACACAGAAATTATCAAACTAGACAAGCTCAACTTCGACCAAGAGGTCAACCGACGATTCAAAATCGACTGGGTAGTCCCATAAACCTCGAAATTTTAAAACAAGTGTACAACCAGTTTTTTAGTACACGGTATGCACAATGTAAATACATATTTTGTTTAGCGAATTGTATGACCGAAATCATAAATTTGTTTCCTTCATAAATTCTCAAATAATAAAAAAAAAACATTTGAGAAATGCACAATAGTGGAATCACACCACAATGACTAATATTGATTATCTAAGCTATCTGATTGTTTCGATCATTACAATAGTTATGACCGTTATATTAATTACCCGTTGCTATGAGAAAAAAAAATCAAATTCAGTGCAAGTACACAGCATATGAGCACATAAAATAAAACCACTATATTTTGAGGTCCTTAAAATGTACGAACGTATTTTTCAAAATCACATTTAGAAGTTTGTGGTCAAGAAACAATAAAAATAGAAAAACAGTTTAAAGAAAGTGCAGCATGCGACAGTACTGTAAAGTTTTAATTATATCGCTGTGGGCAGCGCTGTAATGTTTATATTATACCGCCGTGGCTATATTCCGCAAGGAGGACAACAATGTCATTTTTACACATCGGCCCTATATTTTGCATGTCCTCATACTCTTCATCAAACCGTAAATAGTTCATAGCAAGTTCAGAGCAAGGTATTGCAGACGGATTAGAGGTTGCGTTAGCAAACGTCTCACGTATTTAACACGTTCATGCGAACAACGTATATGTACGTCACATATTTGTAGATATGATGTGGCACAACGTATAATTACGTTCAGCAATAGCTCGATTTATTGAGCACAACGTTATGGTACGGTGTCTGGCCATACTAACGTTTTAAAGTTGGGTTACTGTGCCACAACATATCGAATTCTCAAAATTGTAGTGCCACATCGCACCGATTTTTTTTGCCTTCTTAGATGGCGTTCCTCCCTGATACTAAGTACCCACTTTGTTAGCGCACAACGTCACTATACGTCGTTTCGCAAAAGAAGTTTCATTACATCAGTCGACTTGTGCGCGTCGCGGGGCTAGTGCGTTTCCAATGTTATGTTCACATGGAATATTGACGCTAAACGTAAGTATTTTATTATCTTACTACGATATACATATTATATAAATACATTTCACTTTATTGTAATAAGTCTGAATATGTTCAAAATACATATTATGTATTTTTTTGTTTGTTTTAGATATATAAAATGAGCCAAAAAAGAACGAATCTTCAATGAAAATCTATGAGCTTTCTTCATCCCGAGAAACCACACCAGTGCCTTTTGTTAACGATGGCGAGTTTGGATCAGATGCTGATTACGGCCCAATTGGTGATAATGATGACGACAGCTCCAGTGACATTGGCATTTCGCAGTTTGAGCGGGGCAAACAGCGCAAAAAGTCATTATTGCATGTCAAAAAGAGTACTTGTTCCAATTTACGATCTGGTTCTGTTGTTAGATCTACATCGGATTCTGCATCAGAAAATTCTTATAACACCACAGACGATTCAGAGTATTCTAGTTATGAAAGCATTTTTGACTCTCATAAACGAAAATGTAGTGACGTCTTAGGACGTCAGCGCAATATATTTCAATACTAATATTATCAGTTATTGCACAGCGTCATTAGACGTCGCTTTAGTTTGTATGAAAAAATTATGTGCAATATCACATAGAGCTACTATATTGAAGTGTGTGCATGAACGTGTTAATTTACATCTATTGTTAATTCAACATGGATATATTGGTGGCCAAGGGACCCAAGGACGTAGGTTATTGTTTTTTAATAGGATAGGGTGACAAACGAGCACACAGTCCACCTGATGGTAAGTGGTTGCTGTGGCCCATAGACATCTACATCTATCCTTGTTTGCGAATCAAAATGCAGATGCGTTGTCACCCGTGAAGACTAAGAAATGGAATGCGTCTTTTCCCGTAAAAAGGGTCTCCGGTTCTCTACACTCACCATACGAAACACAGCAGCATTGAGCTGCTATTTAACGCCGGTATTATGTGAGAGAGTCGTCCTTACCCGGTCAAGTCGACCCATTCGTGCTACAACTATATTACTAATATAGCTTCAGCATGGCGCTACCACGTATATTTCCGTTATTCCGCCATGACACGGCGAATATAATGTACAACATTTATTTAATAACTAGCTGTCTGCCCCAGCTTCGTCTGGGTAGCGTCTATTAATGTGAAGATATTTAGATATATGAAAGACAGTCAATGATGATTTAATTATTTTATCTACTTTTCGATTCTTTAAAAAAATCTCCAAGTTTTTTGGATAAAATAGCCTA